TAATAATAATAATAATGATAACGATAATCACCCGCATTCTCATCATCATTATTACCATCGTTGTCGATGTATTTACATTTAAATTTCTAAACCTTATGAGATGGGTCCCACGAGCTCATATGAACTTATGCACTTGCGAGCGCCGTAAAACACTTAAAAAATAAAGCTTTTGAGACGCTAAAGCTCTTTCTCTTTGCGTGATCGGTCTTTTTAAAAAAACTCTACTATTGCTTGTTCACTTTCGTCTGACCGTGATTAAAACTAGATAAAAATGAAATCGCTCTGTTCTATCTTCTCGGATCTTTGCATACGGGTCGAAAATTTGTATGACCAACAGAATCCAAAAGCCTATTTATAAAAGTCACTGCAAGATAAGATAAGATAAGATAAGACACATCTTTATTGTCCAGATCCTGGCACATTGGTTTGGTGTTCCACCACGAGTACACACACACACATGCACACACACATACACACACACACACACATACACACACATACACACACACACACACACACACACAAACACACACACGTGCACGCACATAAACACACACAAGTAGGTTTACAATCACATACATAATATAAATGAGCAGCAATATAAACGATAATAATCGTAAGCTAGATACACACTCAATGTTATTTTGATGCATGCTCTAAGGTCGTAAGCAAACGGAGATTCCAACACTTTTTTAAAGTAAGCCTAAAGCAGGTAACAACAAATAATAGGGGGTGTGCAGCATAGACCTAAAACATTTAAAAGTTGATATATATTCCTCAACACCACTCTTTAAAAAAATATTTTTGTTTGGTAGCTGGCCTGCAGAAGTGACATGCAAAATATCGTGGGCATTGGTCAATTCCTAACCTAAATGAGCTAGACTTTTTTAACGCGGTCAGACGAAAGTGAACAAGCTACAGGAGAGTTTAAAGTCGTGCGTGTGGTGTCCCAGTAGGACACTCGGCTGATAGGAAATCTATAGGAGGGCCTGAAATATGACATTTGGACCAGATTTGGATTCGAACCTGTGGCGTTCGCGTCAAAGCCAAACTATTTCTGCTTAATTAAGACACAACAGCTGGGTTTATGTCTGTGTTGATATATCAAGTGTTTATAGGTCAAATGTTTTAATTTGTTTTTGTTTTCATCACCAGCGCAAATGGGAGCTGAGAATTGACATGACATACGAGGGGAAAGACTACTACGCCTGCTACAACGACTTTGTTCTGCGCGGGGAATCGGAAAACTACAAAATTTTTATATCTGAATTCTCGGGTAATGTCAGTGATGACATGGCCTTTCACAATGGCATGCCGTTCTCAACCAAGGACAGTGAGAAGAACGCATGTGCCAGTCATTGGCACGGAGGTTGGTGGTACGGGTCATGCCATCGCGTGCACCTCACCGGAGTGTGGGGAAGCAGAGTGTTCTCGAAGGGCTTGAACTGGAAGAATCTAACGGGATTTTACCACTCTGTCAGCTTCAGTGAAATGAAGATCCGACCACATGCTTAGTGACAGCCTTACAGCAAAGAATCCCTATGTTGATTAGATCCAATTATGAATGAACTAGATGTTTGCCTGTCTATATTATTGGCTTGTCTTTAAGGTGGGGCG